AATCTCAAATAGAAATCATTTTTGAAAATGCGTTTGGTAGTTTTATCAAAAGATTGTTTTCAGTGTAAAAAAACTCATTAATGTCTCTCTTTCTCTCCCTCTGCTCGAGAGAGGAGAAAACAAAAACAAAAAATGAAAAACGACTAAAAGTCATTTTTCATTTCTCTCTCATTTTACACTAAACTAAAAAATCGATTGCATTTTTATTTTTTATCTTTATTGCGCCAAACGCAATTTTGAAAATGTTTACATTTTTTTTTTCAAAAAACGTGAAAAACAAAAACGGGATCAATTCCAAACACAGCCCAAATGTCCAAAATGCAATTAACACCTAAATCCCAAAATGCAATGTCAAAATGTTATAATAAAAAAATCCATAATCCATTCAAAACATATAGTTCCTAATAATCAATGCTTAGTTTAAACTTTGAAGCAATTTTGCAAAAATAAAATAAAAAGAAAGTTAGAATAATAACTTATCAAAGCAAATAAAAATCAATTTCTAGTTTAGTGATTAAATTGTAAGATCATACCGTCAAACAATATAATATATACTTCTATTTGAGTTGCACTAGAATCACGAGGAGGTGGGGGAACCATAGAAGTATTAGGATTCGTTTGGTACGATGATTCAAATCAGGATGATTCTAATCATGATTTTAAAATTAGAACTATAATTCATGATTTTAAGTTCAAATCATGATTCTGAAATCATGATTCACAATCAGGGGTTTGAATCACCTTCAATCAAGAGGGGGTGGTTTTAGAATTATGAGTGATTCTGGTTTAAAACAGCATATCAGATTCAGAATCATGATTCAGAATCATCCAAACCAAACACTGACTATGAATCATGATTCAGAATCATGATCCAGAATCATGATTCAGAATCATGATCCAGAATCATGATTCTGGATCCATCTACCAAACGCTCCCTAGTGATCTCTATGAAACAATATGGTGTGTTCGGCAAGGCTTCCTAGTTAAAAAAATTATTTACAGAAACTTGTTTAGATAATTTTTTAGAAAAGCTTTTAGCCTAAAATTACAAAATGTAGTTTATGAAAAAAGTTCCGTTAAATGAGATAGCTTATGAATTTTTTTCATCAAATTTAAATAAAGAAAATGTAGGAAAATTGTGTCATAAATTGTACGGAAATAGTAGAAAATATACCAATATGAAAAGCTTAAGAAAGTATATAGGCTAATTTTTAGTTATAGAAATTAATAGGCCATAATTTGTCAAGTTATGGTTCATAACCAGATAAGTTATGGACAAACTTGTCAAGTTATGGTTCATAGCCAGAAAAGTTATGGACAAAAACTGTGAATTATGGACAATAACTTGTCAAGTTATAGTTCATAACCAGATAAGTTATGGATAAAAACAATAATTTGGCTTATTTATTAACTTATGTAAATTATTGACTTATTAATTTTAATTCATCTTAAGTCTTGGCATATTTCATTATTTCTCTCTAAATTGTAATCTCATAATATTCTCTGTTTCTCGTTATTATAATCTATGTTTGTAGCTTTTATAGTTCACATATGTTAGCTTTTAAGAAGGCAAAAATTATGATTTGGTTGGTTAATATTTGGAAGACACATTTTTAATTAAAAATTATGATTCCTTTTATGTTAGCTTTTTCCCCTTTTCTTTTTTCGCCCGTTTGGTAAGGGGATTCGTTCCCTGATTCGAATCATGATTCGTGGTTCGCTACAGTTATTTCTCTCACAAAAAATACACATAAATCGAAAATGGTTCTAATCATATGGTTATAATCAATTAACCAAACGGATCAAATTGGAAGTACTTTTGGATAAGAGTGTGAGAATTACTTCTTCTCACCAGTCACGACTACAATCTATACACATACTTGGTTAAAAGTGTAATCCTCTCTCAAATACTTGTAAAATAAATCCTGAGACGTTTGGTTCATGGATTAAAATTATGAGATTAAAATTATTTTTAATTTACGTGTTTTTTTTGTGAAAAAAAATACTGTAACGAACCACAAACTATAATTCGAATTAAGATATGAATCTCCTAACCAAACAAACACGTCTTCAGTTGAATCGATTAAAAGAAGAGTATTATTAACCATCCAAAATGATTGCGAAATTGCTGCTCTTATTTCTATTCCACAAGTGCAAATAAGATTATCAAAAAACTAACAAATAAGATACAGAAAAAAATGACGTTGTTATAGTATAAAAGAAAAGAGAACACATACAACCCACACCAACGTATTCCTATACCTGTAACAGGTACCTCAGTAAGACACTAGTATGGGCACATGCCTAAGGCACGTGTTTGTTTCCTTCAAAAACTCTAATAAAATTTATACCCAAAAAATTATTTATCACCAAATTTATATCAAATAAACCAACAAGATTAAAAAAAAAAAAACCAACAGGGCTCGTTCATTTCATCGATTTGAGTTTTGAATTTGAGTTTTGTTACAGTAAAAAGCTCTAAGAAACAGTCACATCTAATTTTTTTACTACAGTAAAAAGCTCTCACATAAAGTTACATCTCAACTCGAATTAAAAACTCGAATCAGTGAACTAAACAGACTCTAAAAAAGATCATAATACGATGTATGAGAGAATACAAGAGCCAACCTTGATCATTGCATATTTAGGCCTCGTTCATTTCGCGGATTCGAGTTTTCAATTCGAGCTGAGATGTGATATTTTCTGAGAGCTTTTCACTATAACAAAAAAAGTTAGATGTAACATTTTATGAGAGCTTTTTACTGTAAAAACCTAAAACTGAAAACTCGAATCGGTGAAATGAATGAAACCTTATTGAATAAGGGACTTTATACGGTTCTACTCCTCAAATACTTCCACCGGTGGAAGCCATTCTTTTAACCGTTAGATTACTTTTTCAACGTCATATATGTAGAGGAAATAGTTTTGTGCGGCGTGTTGTAAATTTTTAATACGGATATGTGCATATCTTGTGCATATCTTATCGTTGAAAATTTAATCCAACGGTCAAAAATAGGTATTCCATCAGTGGAAGTATTTGAGGGGTGGAATAGTATAAAATCTATTATTATTATTATCATTATTATTATTATTATTATTATTATTATTATTATCATTATTATTATTATTATTATTATTAATATTAATATTAATATTAATATTAATATTATTATTATTATTATTTTAATTTAAGGTGGGTGAATTTGAACTCTACGACTACTACATTTTGGGTAGAGTAAAGGTAACCTTACCGTTGTACACGTTTGATCTCTTCAATCAATTAAGATAATAAGGTCCCGTTCATTTTGCGGATTTGAGTTTTTAATTCGAGCCGAGATGTAACATTTTCTGAGAGTTTTTAACTGTAGTAGAAAAAGTTAGATGTGACATTTTCTGAGAGCTTTTAACTGTAAAAACTTAAAACTGAAAACTCAAATTGGTGAAATGAACGAGATTTAAATATTGTAAATAAGAAATAATCAGCGTAAAAGTTGGAGCCTTTGATAACCGTTAGAATCTAGTAAGCCTAATATCTAAAACGCAGTTACTACAATTATTCAGATAGTTAATCTCAAATAAACTATAATAGGAATCAAAGTAATGTGTAAAAAAATAAAAAAGGTGACTAAAAATTTATAATAGTTTACTCGTTAAAGAGCTACGGATTCCATTCGAGTTATTCGATACAAAAATAAGCAATAGAAACCAGGCATAGATTCCACTATACTTAGAGTTCTTCGATACAAAAATGAGCAATAGAAACCCTATTACAACTTTCAAGCTTTCACTTTCACTCGAGTTGGTGACTTGTGTGCTAAGTGTGTGGAATGGATTGGATCACCGAGAAGGAGGTTACGCACACATACCAGATCGTGTCTTCAAACAGGTGCTGCCACGTGCCCACGCATCCATTAGTGGGATTGATCATGCTTGTGGACAGTTATTAGGCTAAACTCCCAGAAGTAGCTGCTCAGATTATCCCGAGAGAGTCGACCTCTATTACTCAGCCACCTACTCTCATAGTTCGGATTAATTGGGTCAAATGACCACTTCATCGCTCGACGAATTCATGACAACCATTGATCGATCCTTCTCCTTGAGTCAACCTATTGTGTTAATAGATTGCTCTTGATATGTAAGATATGTATCGATCCTTTTGAGTATATTTGGCTTGTATTTAATGGATTTGGGTTAAACTATTCATGTAATTACTATATTTTTATTGGAGAAAAGAGACAAATACTTTTTAAAAGTGTATGAGTCAAGATTTTTATCTTTTATTCTTTATTAATAACCTTTTTAGTTAAATAATTATACTAACAAAAGAGTATTAATAAAAAATGAGGAATAAAAATTTAGGCTCATACATTTTTAAGGGTATTTAATGGATTTGGGTTAAACTATTCATGTAATTACTATATTTTTATTAGAGAAAAGAGACAAATACTTTTTAAAAGTGTATGAGTCAAGATTTTTATCTTTTATTCTTTATTAATAATCTTTTTAGTTAAATAATTATACTAACAAAAGAGTATTAATCAAAAATGAGGAATAAAAATTTAGGCTCATACATTTTTAAGGATAAATTCTATAATTTTTTTGTCATTTTTCATTTTTTATTTTAAGCCATGCTATTTATGTGTAGTTTATTAATAGGCAATAGTTAAAAAGAAATAGCGACCAATTATAGTTCATTTCAATTTTCATGTGATTTTTTTGCTAGTTAATTTTCATGTGATTAGCTTATTGCCTTTTTTTTAAGGGGAAATAGCTGCTTGGTTTTTACTCGATAATACTAATTAATATGTTCTTATTCCTCATTTAGTTTATTTCTTTTCCTTTTATTTTGGTAAAAAAAAAGTACTTATACAACGTATTTTTCCACCATAAAAAGAATCTAATAATAAATAAAGGTAGACAAGTGGTACAGTATGCAATTCAAAAGAGGATATCACTTTTCCTTTTCCCACCAATATACTTAAAAACACAATTCACAAACACACGTTTCCTGACCTGTTAGCGTTGAAAACTTCTTAAATAGAAAATAAGAAAAATAAGAAAAAAATTTTAAACCCAAATCCAATCCTTTGAACGAATTTCTCTCCCCCCAAATTGGCTGTGCTAGGGTTTCAACCCCGACTCCGACCCGCCAAATTCTCTCCCCAAAACCCTAGCACCCACCACGGCAATCTCCCCTTCGTCTTCTCCGTCGTTGTCTCTGCATGGTTCGGGTCCGATTCGGAGCTCCATTGTCTATTTGGATCCGGATTCGCCTCGCCAGCTCCGTCTCCGCCAATGGCGTCGACGGCTTCAGCTTCTGCCAATAGATCGGAGCCTCCGGTATGAGTTTTTTTTTTGTTCATATTTTTTTATGCGTTTCTTTTTCTTCAATTGAACGAGATTTTGGTTTGAATTTTGTCGCCGGCGGTGGTTTTCTGGTGATATATGTTCGAAAAATTTAGCTGTTTATGTTGGGCGCTTATGAATGTTGGGAATGTAGGTCGATCTAGAGAGCAATGGCAGCCGGCAATGTTTGTGGAGCTACTATTTTTGGTTTCGCTCTTAAATTATTTTCCTTTGTTATGTTTTTCGGGGAATTTTAGACCGCATTCTGTTACTCCTATTTGGAAGTTCTATAGCAAGAAAAAAAAAGGACATTGTGAGGGTGATAGGTAGATGCTCGCTAATTTTGCACATTGCAATGTTTTGCTTAAGATTGAAGAATGTTGCTGAAATTTTGTGCATTAAAGCCTCCATCTTGCAGATTTTGGTTTGACTTTGTGTACTTTGACTTTGGTGTGACTTTGACAAGCTTAATTGTTCGCTATCATTATCCGGGGTTATGTCAATTTGATTTCTGTTGCAAGTTAGGTTTCGTTTTGACTTCTTGCAGACAATGAGATCAGAAGAAACAGTTCCAACTGTTAAGGACATATCATCAGTTGTAGATTCTCTAAAGAAGGATGTTGCGTCTAACCGTTGTCTTTCCATAAAGGTGCATTCATATGGTTATTGACTTCTTTCTGTAATATTCTTGTTCCGATAGTACCTTACTTTATCCTCACTAGAACTATTATTTTCCCTGCAGAAAAGAATGGAAGAAAATAATCAGAAATTAGTTGGTGTCACAAACTATCTATATAAGTTGTCAACAGAAAGAACAAGCCAGTTTAGTGATGCTGGTAAATGTGTAGATTTGCTGTCAAGAAGGCTGAAAGATGCATTTGATATGCAAAATGGCATCGATGTTAGTAATGGCAGCAAGGATAGCCCAGAAGAAAATGACCACGCATCTACAGCAGTTCTTCTGGGATCTAATGTTGCAGTCAAGAATGCTGTTCGTCCTATTAAGCTTTTAGAAGTTAAAAGATTACCTCCTTATACTACATGGATATTTTTGGACAGGTGTGTTAGAATTCCAATTTTTTCAATTTTTTTTTTGCTCAAAAAATGTGTTGAAATTTTGCAGTGAGGTGTATTGAAAGATACAAATGATATATATATATATATATATATATTTTTTTTTTTTTATATTTCTGATACAGAAATCAAAGAATGACCGAGGATCAGTCGGTAGTCGGTCGAAGGAGAATCTATTATGATCAAAGTGGAGGTGAAGCTCTAATATGTAGTGATAGTGAGGAGGAAGTAATTGATGAAGAAGAGGAAAAGAGAGATTTTGTAGAGTCTGAAGACTATATACTTAGGTAGAGGCTTTGACTGGCTTATCAAATTATTTTGGGCATATATTATGCTTTTGTGTATAGTAAACTAAATATATTTTGTGGGTTCATTTTATGGACAAAGAAAGTAAGCTAAATGTTGTATTGGTCCTCCTTTTCTTATGTTGCCAGAATGACTATAAAAGAAGTTGGGCTTTCTGATTCTGTTCTGGAGTCACTGGCGCAATGTTTTTCTAGAAGCCCAAGTGAAATCAAGGTATATGCTTCTTTTCTTCATACTCCTCACTGCTTTGTGTCTCTGTTATTTGTAATCTGATAAAAACCTGGTCAGTGTAAGCTTTCGTCCAGCCGTTTCCCATTTTCTTTGTGCTGGCTTTACAGAGATATGAAACACCATCAAACGTCTTATACAGGCAAGATATGAGAATATTGTTAAGGAAGGCAAGGCTGTGGGGGGTTGTAAGAATGGGGATAATGAAGACACTTCACAACTGGCAAATTCTTTTCTTGATAAAGATGTTGATGCAGCTTTGGATTCATTTGATAATCTGTTTTGTCGCCGATGTCTTGTAAGTATTTCACTTGTCTCATGTTCATTTATCGGTTTCTTTTGCACTTTCTCTTTCTACTCAGTATATCTCTACTTTTATTTTCTTGGGCAGGTGTTTGATTGTAGATTACACGGATGTTCCCAGGATCTCGTCTTTCCTGTTAGTATAAGATCTACTGTCTAATAGTTGTTTGAATGGTTGCACCAATGATATATTATTGCTGATACGAAACATTGTCAGGCTGAGAAACAAACGACATGGAGCTCTCCAGATGACGAAAAAGTACCATGTGGTCCACATTGCTATCGATCAGTATGTGTTACAAAATTTACTTGGATGTGTGGATAATCTTAGCGAGGAATTTCCAACAATTGACTAAAGCAGTCTCAAATTCTCTCATTTTAGGTTCTGAAGTCGGAAAAAATTGTCAAAGTTAGCTCTCCCTTGAATGGTGATTTTGTTGAAAAGATGACCACAAGAGCTGATGCTGCTAGTGCTCAGATATCTTCTAGAAAGAAAGGTGCTGGCCCATCTGCTAGAAAGAGGGTGAAATCCTATCAAAGTGAAAGTGCATCGTCAAATGCAAAGAACATCTCAGAAAGCAGTGACTCAGAGAATGGACCAAGACAAGACGCTACTTGTGTCCTTCCATCATCACCTTCAAAGTGTAGAGTTGCAGGAAAGTCTGGAATGCGCAAGAGGAATAGCAAGCGAGTTGCAGAGCGTGTTCTTGCTTGCATGCAGAAAAGACAGAAGAAAATGATGGCACCTGATTCTGATTATATTGTTAATGGCGGTCTTTGCCACATTGATATGAAACTGAGATTTAATTCATGCAAAGAAAATGAAGATACGAGTTCTTCTTCACATAAGAATGTGAAATCTCCTATTACTGGAAGGTCCAGAAGGAAGGATTCACCAATGAAAGACAGACGCAAAGAAATTCAGGGTGAGGTTCCAGATGGTTCCTCAAATGAGATGATCACAGATCCACCTGCTCCTAGTTGTGATGAAAACTCAAGGAAAGAAGAGTATGTTGATGAAAACATATATAAACAAGATTCAAGTGATGATAAATCCTGGAAAACTATAGAGAAAGGTCTTTTTGAGAAAGGCATTGAAATCTTTGGCCGGAACAGGTTAGTTGATAGCATTTATGTTTCTTTAAGTTGTCTCTCTCTCTTTTTTCCGCCTCCTTTTTTTAATACTTTATATGTTTATCAATATGGAAACAGTTTCAGATATGAATGCGTGATAGTTGATGATCTTAATATATCAGAAACTGTGGTCGACTTCAGAGGCTTCTTATTCAATCTGAATATATTCTTTTGAACTTAGGTCAAAAAGTGAAATCGTTTGGGACTTCTTTGGTAGTGAGGGAGTACCCCCCACCCTACCTAAACCCATGTTGTTTCTTTAGCATCTTTTTGTTAGGATCCGTTAATGACTTGGGAACTTGTTTGGTTAGTGGGCTGGTAGAGTTAGTAGGATTTAGTATAAATAAAGGGCTTAGTAGCTCACTAGATCAAAGTTAGAGTTAGTAGGAATTAGTATAAATAAAGAGCTTAGTAGCACACTAGATCAAAGTTAGGAGTTCTCTGGAGTTCTCGAATACTCCAGTCTATCCTAAGCTTTCTTTACGTTTTAATTAGTTTGGTTGTAAAATTCTATGAATTAGTGTTGGTGATGATCAATAAAACTACTCTGATTGCCTTCTATTCTTGTTCTTCTGTGGGAATATTGAGCTGTGAGAATTAGGTACCTAACATTGGTATCAGAGCAATTGATTCTCGAGAAAAAAGACTGGAAAAAAAATATTACAAAAAAAACAGGTGAGAATAGTCTGGAATCGTGGGGTTTCGAGAACCAGAGCCGCCGACCGTCGATCGTACGAACTGTGCCGGCGAGCGACAACAGAGGGAAGACAGCTAGATCCGGAATCGTGTGAGATTGACGAAGATTGGAGCCATTTGTCGCTATCTGGTGCTGAGACGTTCAGATCTGAGAAGAACGACGATCCTTGGCTGATGTGAACTGGTGTGCAAATCCAACGCTGGCGAACGACGCCAGAGATGCGACTTGAGATGAGCGATTCACGCCGGCGTGGGAAACAGGTGGAGATGCGAACTGTTTGGAGTGATTTTTCATGACCCGGAGCTAGATCAACTAGATATGAAGTGAATGGCAGCAGATTCGCGACGGGATCGAGCGTAGATGGGGGTTGAGTTTCGCGATCCCGGTGCGCTCGAAGGTGATTCTGGCCGGATTTGGACCGGGTGTTGCCATTCCGGTGCGTCTGAGGCTAATTCCGGTCGAATTCAGACTGGGTCACGCAAGTTCGGCCCGATTTGGGCAGATTCCGGCGAAATTAGGGTTGGGTCTCGAAATTCCGGCAGTCCTAGGTCTGGGTTTTGCAATTCTGATGTGATTGAGACTGATTCCGATGATGTTTAGGTTGGGCCTCGAACTTACAGCAAGATTAGAGCCAATTACAGCCAAATATGGATTGGATCTTCAAGTTTTGGCATGATTGGGGCTAGGTTTGGGCGATTTGAGTTGGGTGAGGGAGATTGGGTTTTACAATTTGATTTGAGAGAGTGAGTTGGGTCTTCTCGATTTGGAGTCAAAATCAATACAAGGGTTTCAAGTAGGGAGAGAGAAAGGTGGCACGACACCCTATGTGAGGGCCGAATGGATCAATGATTTCAGCGAATGGATATGCCATTTTTCGCCGGAGAAGACCCTGATGGGTGGGTCTTTAGAGCTTGTTGATGGTGGAATTTCGTCAACAAGAGTACACCAGATTACCTCTCGGTGGTCCGTTAGGTTACCAGCCAAAAGTTGTTATACACTTGGATTTATGCAACTGATTGTGTTTGTTTTTGATGTATATTATAAGAGGTATTGATTTTGTGCTAGAACGGAAGTAAAGAGGCACATGAATTTATACCTCTTATAATATATCTAAAAAACAAACACAGTCAGTTGCATAAATCCAAATATATAACAACTTTTAGCCGGTAACCCAACTGACCACCGAGAGGTAATCCGGCGTAATCTTGTTGACGAAATTCCACCGTCAACAATTGGCGACTCCACTGAGGACTCGAACCCAGAATCTCTGGTTCGTGTGTTTAGAACCCAAGACAACTAAGAAGTAACCAAGAATCATGCCTCCGAGAAGAGGGAAAAACGGCGCCACAAATCAAGGTAGCCAAACGGAGAACGTCGCGCATCCGGCCAACGACGAGGGCGGGGAAGATCAACCCGACCAGCGGAATCAACCCCCGGTGAGGA